TCTTACACGTCATATCAAAATCCCACCCTCTCTGGCAAGTAGATGCCAAGTCACATCTTACACGTCATATCAAAAATCCCACCCTCTCTGCCAAGTACATGCTAGTGTCACATCTTACACGTCATATCAATATCCCATGCAGATGCGCGAAAAGGTAGGAAAGTCGCGAAACACTATGTTTTTCCAATGATTTGTGGCTCAGGAGGGTGGAAAAGTAGGCTCGCTAACACTAGGGGTTCGGACCACTTTTGGAGGTTGAGATGTCGAAAAAGTGCACGCCGTTGTGGCGCGAAGCGCATTTCGAAGTCAAAATGTTCAAAACACGAGGGGTTCGGACCACTTTTGGAGGTTAAGATGTCGAAAAAGTGCACGCCCTTGTGGCGCGAAGCACATTTCGAAGTGAAAATGTTCAAAACACTGGGGGTTTAGACCCCTTTTGGAGGTTCAGATGTCGCTTCGCTTCACTACACGACACTACAGTCCACTGCACTACACTACAGGACATTACACTACACTACACTACACTCCAGTACACTACATTACACTACACTACACTCCAGTACACTCCACTACACTAAATTACACTACACCACGCTACATTACACTACACTACGCTCCACTACACTCCACTACGCTACATCACATTACACTACACTACACTCCACTACACTACATTACACTATACTACATTATCTTCCACTACACTTCACTACCTTACACTACACTACACTACACTCCATTACACTACAGCTACAACTACAACTGCGCAACTAGACTCCACTACACTCCACTACACTAAATTACACTACACTACACTACATTACACTACACTACACTACATTCCGCCACACCCCACTACACTACATTACACTACACTACACTACATTCCGCCACACTCCACTACACCACACTACATTACACTACACTACATTAGACTGAATGACACTGCACCACAGAGAGACAGTTAGACAGATAGATAGATAGATAGATAGATAGGCAGATAGACAGATAGACAGGTAGACAGATAGACAGATAGACAGATAGACAGATGAAAGCGAGAGAGAGAGAGAGATAGATAGACAGATAGATAGGTAGATAGATAGATAGATAGATAGATAGACAGACAAATTGCCAGGGAGACAGCTAAATAAAAAGATAGATAGATGGATATATAGATAGATAGATGGCTAGACAGATAGATAGATAGATGGATAGATAGATAGATAGATAGATAGATGGACAGACAGATAGATAGATAGATAGATGGACAGATAGACAGACAGACAAATAGATAGAGAGACAGCTAAATACAAAGATAGATAGATAGATAGATAGAGATAGATAGATATAGATAGATAGATATAGATAGATAGATAGATAGATAGATAGATCAGATAGATAGATAGATAGATAGATAGATCGATCGATAGATAGATAGGTAATTAGATGAAAGAGAGAGAGATAGATAATAGATAGATAGATAGATAGATAGATAGACAGACAGGTAGATAGATAGATAGATAGATAGACAGACAGGTAGACAGCTAGACAGGAAGACAGATGAAAGGGATAGATAGATAGATAGATAGATAGACAGATAGATAGATAGACAAATAGCTAGAAAAATAGACAGCTAGATAAATACATAGGGAGATAGATAGACAGAGAGATAAATAGATAGATAGATAGATCAGTAGGTAGGTAGGTAGATAATCAGAGAAAGATAGAGAAACAGAGAGAAAGAGAGAGAGAGAGAGAGAGAGAGATAGAGAGAGGAAACGAGGAGACCTCAAGCACCTTTCAGTCCATCGGTGGCTTCGCTCTGCCATCCGTGATTCACAACAACCAACCTTTCCTATAGGTTTCCTATTTTTGAAACTTCCGCCACTGCCTTGTGCGGTACTACTGGTACACGTCATATCAGAATCCCACCCTCTCTGGCAAGTACATGCCAAGACACATCTTACACGTCATATCAAAAATCCCACCCTCTCTGGCAAGTACATGCCAAGTCACATCTCACACGTCATATCAAAAATCCCACCCTCTCTGGCAAGTACATGCCAAATCACATCTTACACGTCATATCAAAATCCCACCCTCTCTGGCAAGTAGATGCCAAGTCACATCTTACACGTCAAAACATCTTACACGTCAAAACCCCACCCTCTCTGGCAAGTACATGCCAAGTCACATCTGACACGTTATATCAAAAATCCCACCCTCTCTGGCAAGTACATGCTAGTGTCACATCTTACAGGTCATATCAGAAATCCCACCCTCTCTGGAAAGTACATGCCAAGTCACATCTCACACGTCATATCAAAATCCCACCCCCTCTGGCAAGTACATGCCAAGTCACATCTTACACGTCATATCAAGATCCCACCCTCTCTGGCAAGTACATGCCAAGTCACATCTTACACGTCAAAACCCCACCCTCTCTGGCAAGTACATGCCAAGTCACATCTTACACGTCATACCGTTATATCAGAAATCCCACCCTCTCTGGCAAGTACATGCCAAGACACATCTTACACGTCATATCAAATATCCCACCCTCTCTGGCAAGTACATGCCAAGTCACATCTTACACGTCATATCAAAAATCCCAACCTCTCTGGCAAGTACATGCCAAGTCACACCTCACACGTCATATCAAAATCCCACCCTCTCTGGCAAGTACATGCCAAGTCACATCTTACACGTCATATCAAAATCCCACCCTCTCTGGCAAGTACATGCCAAGTCACATCTTACACGTCATATCAAAAATCCCACCCTCTCTGGCAAGTACATGCCAAGTCACACCTTACACGTCAAAACCCCACCCTCTCTGGCAAGTACACGCTAGTGTCACATCTGACACGTTATATCAAAAATCCCACCCTCTTCTGGCAAGTACATGCAAAGACACATCTTACACGTCACATCAATATCCCACCCTCTCTGGCAAGTACATGCCAAGTCACATCTTACACGTCATATCAATATCCCACCCTCTCTGGCAAGTACATGCCAAGTCACATCTTACACGTCATATCAATATCCCACCCTCTCTGGCAAGTACATGCCAAGTCACATCTTACACGTCAAAACCCCACCCTCTCTGGCAAGTACATGCCAAGTCACATCTTACACGTCATACCGTTATATCAGAAATCCCACCCTCTCTGGCAAGTACATGCAAGTGTCACATGTTACACGCCATATCAAAAATCCCACCCTCTCTGGCAAGTACATGCCAAGTCACATCTTACACGTTATATCAGAAATCCCACCCCTCTGGCAAGTACATGCAAGTGTCACATCTTACACGTCATATCAAAATCCCACCCTCTCTGGCAAGTACATGCAAGTCACATCTTACACGTCATATCAAGATCCCACCCTCTCTGGAAAGTACATGCCAAGTCACATCTCACACGTCATATCAAAATCCCACCCCCTTCTGGCAAGTACATGCAAAGACACATCTTACACGTCACATCAATATCCCACCCTCTCTGGCAAGTACATGCCAAGTCACATCTTACACGTCATATCAAGATCCCACCCTCTCTGGCAAGTACATGCCAAGTCACATCTTACACGTCATATCAATATCCCACCCTCTCTGGCAAGTACATGCCAAGTCACATCTTACACGTCAAAATCCCACCCTCTCTGGCAAGTACATGCCAAGTCACATCTTACAGGTCATATCAGAAATCCCACCCTCTCTGGCAAGTACATGCAAGTGCCACATCTTACACGTCATATCAAAAATCCCACCCTCTCTGGCAAGTACATGCCAAGTCACATCTTACACGTCATATCAAATATCCCAACCTCTCTGGCAAGTACATGCCAAGTCACACTTTACGCGTCATATCAAAATCCCACCCTCTCTGGCAAGTACATGCCAAGTCACATCTCACACGTCATATCAAAAATCCCACCCTCTCTGGCAAGTACATGCCAAATCACATCTTACACGTCATATCAAAATCCCACCCTCTCTGGCAAGTACATGCCAAGTTACATCTTACACGTCATATCAAAAATCCCACCCTCTCTGGCAAGTACATGCCAAGCCACATCTTACACGTCATATCAAATATCCCACCCTCTCTGGCAAGTACATGCCAAGTCACACCTTACACGTCATATCAGAAATCCCAACCTCTCTGGCAAGTACATGCCTCTGACAACCACCGCCCTCCAGACAGATGACATGAGGCCGCACAGAGAAAAATCATGAAAAAACCAGCTGATCCGATCCACTCATCGATGGCCGAAGCGTCGTTCACGAAGCATGGTTTCCTACATGTGGCGGATGAATCATAGTTTACGAGTAATGGTTTACGAAACATAGTTTACGAGTCATGGTTTACGAAGCATAGTTTACGAGTCATGGTTTACGAATCACAGTTTACGAGTAATGGTTTACGAAACATAGTTTACGAGTGATGGTTTACGAAGCATAGTTTACGAGTCATGGTTTAGGGAGCATAGTTTACGAGTAATGGTTTACGAATCACAGTTTACGAGTCATGGTTTACGAAGCATAGTTTACGAGTCATGGTTTACGAAGCATAGTTTACGAGTCATGGTTTGCGAAGCATAGTTTACGAGTCATGGTTTACGAAGCATAGTTTACGAGTCATGGTTTACGAAGCATAGTTTACGAGTCATGGTTTACCGAAGCAGACGTCAACCCTGTGGAATCTTAACCACCGTGGTATTGCGCCATACATCAGACTAGTGCCCTTTGCATGTATGCAGAGGAGAGGTACTTGAATTTCCTCTGCCAAGAGTAATTTCTGCCTACCATGCTCTGGGTGGAAGCGTTTCGGCACAAGGCCACCAAATTTCATGCCATTGCAAGACCGTGCAAATATAAACTGTGAACATGTTGAAGAAAACATTGCCGTTTGTTATCATGCGGTTTTATTCCCCTCGTTTTGTTTGAAAAACTTGAAGTCCGCGGCCGTTGCGCCTAGCTGCGCTTTGATACGATGGTTTGAGGCTAAGTGTTTGAGATGACGTAGTCGCTTGGGCATGTGCATTTTTTCCAGGAGACTGCCACATCATTGATCAGACCTTTTGCGGATCGCGATTGGCTGAGATTGACCAAGGTCAAACGCGCCGTTTGCGTTGGATGCAACTACCCTAGCAAACCGTACGGTTTAGCTGGTTGCGTGCTGCCGGCTGTTTGTTCTTCGATGTCATATGAATGAACGATCCAGGAATGTTTCGATGTTCCCCAAGTTCGACGCCATTCGATGCCACAATGGCCAGGTGAATGATGCCTTTTTGATTGCTGGGTATTTGGAGGAACACCTTGGTTTCAGCAAGGAGAACGCAATCGACTTAGCATGGGTAGAATTTAGATTGGCACATTCACCGCTGCACGGCTTTGAATCCGCTTGGATTGATTTACTGCTGAGATTTGTGTGCTGCATGACGTTCTGCCGGGGAAGAGGAGAAACGTACAGGCCCATGGTTTTTGCAAGTGACGGAGCTGTTTGCAATGTGGGGTGTTCCTTCCAAAAGCGAACAGGGGTAAAGACAAACACCAACCGAGAAATTTCGACATGGCATTCCAATTAATTACTTCCAGAAAACATATTTGCGCGCTATTTGCGCGCTATTTGCGCGCTATTTGCGCGCTATTTGCGCGCTTGTGTTTCTTTCCAGCTGCACGAGGCATTTATTGTTTTGTCGGATCTTTGTTGCACAATGTTGCGCATATTTTTTTCACGAAAGATTTCCGGATGCATGGTTAAGTCATGTGTTCGATCGTGCCGTCAGATCAGATTTATAGGCTTCAATTGCATGCCCTAATTGATTTTGACACTCCTTTGCTTCAGTATGACGTATGTTGACAAACTTCTATTTGTTGACTTATTTGGACATGATGCTGCTTGTGCTGCTGGTGTGATTGCTGCGGTTGCGGTGCTGTTGAAGCTGGTTTGGAAGAAAATAGGTCGACGAAGAAAAACGGCCGACGCGGGTCAACATCCTGCAGAAGCTGCAATGGTTGGTCAGGACCGTCGGACTTTCTTGCAGCATCAGGTGCAAAACCCATTGTGAAGCAAAGACCGCATTGGGAACCCTAGGGCAAGGGACATTTGCATACATTTGCATATTTGTAGACTATTGTAGACCCACACGACGTGGTCATTCGGTCTTGCATTGGAAATTTAATCCAGCAGCCGTGTCAAAAAAAATTGTCATGTCATAAGATACCAAAAACGTGCTTGCACATCTCTGATCCTGTGGAGTTCTCGAGGTTGTTTTCTTGAATGTCACACGTGTAGTTTTACATAGCTCCACTATCCTTCGTGTGCGGGATCTGTTTTTCTCAATCTTAGGGTATCTTATTATATCTTAATTAATGTTGAATATTTTATTTTCTGTTCCGGTCCTGCTGAAGGAGCACCAAACCTGGTATCTTGGTAGAATTTGATTTTGCTTGCATCTGCACAGGTTGGTCATCAATCCTTGAAACTTCAATGTGGCAGATCTCAGGTGATGTGTGCTTCTTTTCCTTTTCTGGCTACGGGTTGCAGGCCGTGTGTTTCTTGCCCTCGCAGCCTTTGGAGCACAATGGAACACGTACAGTATCTTTAAAGGGAATCATAGACACATCTACCTACATGCGACGCTTGCAAGAGTTACTGTAAAGTTTGCCTCTTGGCTACGTATGGATGGGCAAATACGGATAGAATCGGTTGCACATGTGTTGGCGTGGTTCCACACCTCAGATGTTTCCACATACGGATATACCAGGTGTATTTTGGGCATGCTCGCTACATGATTAGGAACTCATCTCTCGGCAGGTCGATGATGTTGATACCATGCCCGACGAAGGGCTGGATGAGGCAGTCCTGTCGATGGCTGAGTTCTGAACCGTCATGAAAGGCGTTGGAATCAAGGCAAACCTGGGGACAATACGGAAGGATATGGCAGGATATGGAAGGATGACACACCTTAGCTGTCATCATTTTTCACCAGTATTCATTTCCCAAACGCCCATGTTTCCACATGATTTCCCAGCTGGCCAATTGCCTCATGGTCGTTCTGACATGCACATCAAGGCCAACCGATTACCAAGAAGGCCCAGGCCATGACATCACCGTCATTGTCAGCACCTCAAGAAAACAGGATGAACCAGGCAGATCATTGCATATCGCGACAGTACTACATTTAGTACTTATTTTTTTCCATTGATTTTCATTGATTGTATGAGTTTCGAAGATGTTCAAAGATACTTCGATCGCATGTGAAGATCGACATGGCTCTGCAAGTAGAGGTTGGGTCCGAAATCCATGACTTGTTGGCTGGCGTCCCTCCACAGAGCTCTGTGACGATTGTGATGGACAGACTCCGGTACCACGTCCGGCATGTGCGCGTTCTGAAACTCGAATTGAAAAAGAAAAACATGATACTAATATTATTTAATCCTATTTATATTATCTATATTCAATGCACGGGTGAATGTGGCCAAAATTTCTGTACAGAATCTTGTGCTTAAGATTGTCTCCATCAAGCGAAGTGGGTGCTGAAGTAGCAACTCCCCAGAGGCCAATGGAGGTCATAGTGCCAGGAGAGACTTAACTTAAATTTTAAAGAATATAATTATGTCAAGATCATGCCGTTTATCCCGTATGGATCCTACTAACTATGTACACTCCTACCATGCTGGGTTGCACCTTCCCGTCAACAAGCTGCTGTTTTCAGATTGTTTTCTGTGTCCAGAGGATTTCAATTTAAAGTAAAACATCCTTCAGTACTCTTGGCAAATCAGAATGCTTCAACACCGGTTGGTTTGAACGAGTGTGCCCACTGGGCATTTCTTTTTCAAGCTTCAAACCCAACGTAAGCAAATTCGCACTTTTGATCTGGGTGTTCGAGAGTGGTTTGGAGAAATGAGAAGCAGGTGCTGTTATGTCTGCAGCGTTGTGATGCGTTGTGATGTGATTTGCTGCATTTGTTTGAAGGGCGGCGTCGAGTGTATGGAAGTAGGTTGCTACGAGCGCACCTGTTGTACATGCCCTATGTACAATTTTTTTACGAAGTAGTTGGCTTTAATCACTTAAGCAGAATGCCAAGGTCTGCTAAGTAGCTGTTGTTTGGAAACGGTTTGCTCTCAATGCAGTGGGCACGGTCGGCAAATTTTGTTTCAAACAGTGGCCCTGCTTGTTGCAATGCAATGCAGGACTGCGACCACGCAACCTCTATTGCAGACGTGACGGAGCCTCAAGCGAGTTGCCATGAACTGGACGCAGTAAAACGATGTAAAACGGCTAAGATGCAAATAAGCGTCACGTAAGCAGCGTACCACCCGGTGTCAATCCAGGGCCCAGCACTCGCGAGATTTATCCACGGTATACTGTAAACATGCTGTCAGTCGTTGTACATTGCGATGGCCAGCACCTAGGACCGGCACGCTGAATGGCGAACTTATCGCTGGTCTCAAAGAAACTGCATACTGCGGCTTCGCTCAGAAGATCCATTGTCTGAAGACGCATAGGACACGGTTCAGCTTGCAAAGCAAACAAGATCAAACAGGTATTGACTATTTAAATTCATGCAATTATCCATTTATCAAATTTGCAAAAAAATGCATGCCATGCGCACTTTGCTTTCAACTCTTGAGATGCACACTTTGGCTGAGGTGGAATGATGAAGGCTTGCACGCAATGTGGAGTTGAGTCAAGTTGCAGGATACATGTGCACAATATACGCAGAATACATATGCTCTCGCCTTATCTCTCTCTCTCTCTACACATGCCCAGCCCATGCCAGCTCTTTCACGTCACACCAATGCAGGCCCACACGCTCAAAGTAGAGCGAGAGCCCAAGAGTGAACTCGCCTGACAAGCTGTGACACAAGCAGCATTCATTGGCTCGGAATTCTGATACTGCGCTGGAAGAATTTGATAGATTTTGCGTTTTCATGAAGAGACATGGAAAACGGGAGCGCAAACTGTAGCCCAATGATGCAATTATCTTAGTAACCCCTTTCAGCTCAATTCAGTGAAGCTTGAAGCAGTGGATGGAGCTTGAGGCCTTCCACCCACCGGCGAGAGATTTGGCTTGACGAAAGTTCACGACAAGTGAGCTTGGCAGAGTTTGCTAAGCTCTGAAAGTATCCTGAAAGTATAAGTATTCCTCTACAAAGTAGACATCCCAATTGTCAACAGTCTTTGATGCCACTTGTCACTTGGCAGCTGCCGTTGTTATGGCACTTTCGTAGTCGGTGTGAACTCGTTCTGGGCAGGTGAAGGCCCGTCCTCGATTCCAACCTACCATGGAAGTCATTCATCCAACGAAAGGTCGCTTTCCCACTCGACCAGTGTCGTGGAATGCAAGAAGTGCCGCATGTGACAATGAAGGGTGTTGGCTTGAGGGTTTCCATGGGTTTCTTGATTTGACGACTTGAAGGCGAGACAGGTTTTCGTGGGGATTGTGCCAGTCAGTCCTTTAGTTTTCACCGGCTGGGCTGCAGCTTGCTCTCTAGTACCAGCTGCCAAGGCCATGTCACGGTCTAACCCTGTGGCCTTCTGCTTTTCAGCCACTTGTCCTCATTTGCGAGTGGTGGCAAGATGTGGAAAGTCTCAATTAGCTGGTGCCTTGCAAGCTGTGATTCTCCATTGGATATGACATGATGTTTTACAATGATGCTTGGTTGGTTTCCTCTTGAGAAATGATTGTCTGGTGGCTTTGTGCTCAGGCATCTGCACATGGACAAACAGCCGTGGAACTGCAGGTTGGCATTTGCCTTTTTACATCCTCTTACGCTTCCTCTTGAAAGGGTCATGCATCAAGATCCATAGAATCATAGAAAAACTCCAGGCTGTAAAAAGCGGGTTACCTTTAGGAGCCAAATTCAATCAGGTAATTACTGATTTTACATGATTTTACATCATTTGCAGAAGTGCACAATGGATATGGATGGGGTTTCAGCAGCTGGTAATGCAGTAATGCTGGTGAATTCACATCACCTGACGTTTTCCCACGTTTTCCTTGGTGGAGGTAACTGTCGCAGAAGCCACCTGGAGTATCTTGGCAACTTTATAGCCACCTCAACTGAATGCAGATGGCTGACAGATAGCACATGATACGCATATTTACATCACATACATTGAACATATAATGTACATCATATTTTATATATTATTAATATAATATGATCTAATATAATATGATAATGATATGATGTAATATAGAATGATATAATATACTAATATAACACAATATACCATGACATAATAATATAGAATATGTTATAATACATTATATTATGCAGACGAATATGTGAGTTATATGTGTGATATACGATAATATAAGCATGGTTTATCGACGTATACAATATATATGTATATGTACATATATATATTGTATATATATATATATAGATATACATATATATGTATACATACATACATATATATATATATATGTGACCCAGGACGCCCAAGCCCCCCCCCCAATGGTCCCCCCCCTGTGGCCTGGGATGGTGGTATGGTTCTTCTGGTCCCCCGCCCCCCCTGTGGCCTGTGGTGGTGGTATGGTTCTTCTGGTCCCCCCCACCCTGTGGCCTGTGGTGGTGGTATATTGGTATGTTGGTATGTTGGTATGTTGGTATGTATGTTGGTATGTATGTATGGAGGTATGTATGTATGTATGTATGTATGTATGTAGGTATGTATGTATGTATGTATGTATGTAATGTATGTATGTATGTATGTATGTATGCATCCATACATGCATGCATGCATGCATGTATGTACGTGTGTACGTGTGTACGTAGGTACGTAGGTACGTAGGTATGTAGGTATGTAGGTATGTAGGTATGTAGGTAGGTAGGTAGATAGGTATGTATGTCTGTGTGTGTGTATGTATGTATGTATGGATGGATGGATGGATGGATGGATGCATGCATGCATGCATGCATGCATGTATGTATGTATGTATATATGGTCCCGTGTCCCGTGTTCCCGAGAGCGTGAGCTTGGGGGACCATACCATTGGGGGGGGGCCAGGGATCCGGAGTCCGGACTCATATATACACTTATATATATATATTTAAATATACGCACAATATATATTATATATATGCATTGATTTGTTTATGCATATGCATATATATATATACACTGTATATGTTTGGTTTTATATATCTAAAAACATTAAGTTTGGCATATATGATCATATATGTATAATGATATATATATATATACATATTGTATTATATATTGTACATGTCGCAGTTTCTTCTCCATGCGGAGATTCTGAGGTACAAGCGAAGAGAGAAAACAGTTTGGGACCTAGACACTCTGGAGGGACGTCTCTGTCTCCATTCCATCTGTCGGAGCTTGCGCTTGTCCTTTTCCAAGGCATGGAGTTCTATCCTGGTGCTTCGTTGAAGCCATGAAGGAGCTGAGGTGCAACGTGAAAGATCAGAGTCATCATTTATTATTATCATGATTGTGTATTGACGATATTTCAGAATATTTCATGCTGATATATGTATATGTATATGTATATGTATATGTATATGTATATGTAGTAGGTATTATGTATTATGTATTATGTATTATGTATTATGTATATGTATATGTATTATGTGTATGTACTATGTGTATGTATGTATATATATATATATATTATTAAATTCATTAATGTTGGCTAGTGGCCTGCCTGTGGCATCAAAACATAGCAGTCCACGCTTGATTTGGTTGTTTCCGGTTTTCTGAGATGGTGCACGCCACTACCAGACCTGGTACTATCGAAGTCCACGAAATTACATGTCCCACAAAGTCGGCCATAGAGTTCGTAGATACTATTGTTAGGTCCTCTTAGGTATTAATTATCATGGGATTTCATGAGTCTACTGTATATTGAATATATTGAGTGTTCAGTGTCGCGACTCGTGGCATTGCTCAACTGACGCAGCCGCTGATGCTTGCAGGAATGATTGCACCTACCTGCAGCTCCTTGAGGAAATGCAGAGGCTTGGGAAGTATGCAGGCATCAGGAAGCTTTTGGCGATCGTGGCATATCATGGTAACATTTGGCAATGGCATGTTGGTCATTCGGTTCTGCACCCCAGGCAGCTTGCCAAGAAAAGAAAAGAAGTTCCGCGATTGGATCAAGAGGACAGGATGTACCAAACAATAAACATCAATAAAATATGTTGAACATGGTGGCGCACAAACCTGATTAAAACTCGATTTTCCCAATCAGACCTGGCAATCGATTAACGAGAACTGCAGCTCAGTAGCTGGATGGAAAGAAAACTGTCGGTTTGCCATGCCTTGTGAGTGCTTTCCGGGTGCTTGTCAATTTGTCAGACGCTTCTGACGTTCACACCGCCTTTGTCTGAGCCGACCAAGATGAAGGCCACTTGTTTTTGCCCTGGAACATGTCAGACATGTCATATATGTTTTCCATGGGCCGTTATCATGCTGCCGTATGCTGCGATACCACTTAAAGCACATGGACCTGGTCTCTGCAAAAGCTGGTTGACAGATGTGTTCAGGTGCTGCAGCCCATGCAGGTGGGACGATGCAGTGCTAGGTGGTATGATGGCTTATCGCTTATGGGAGCATCCAAATTTGAGCCATCACTTAAACCGCTTAGAACATGGTTGTGTTGGGCACTCTATACTCTAGTGGCTTGTATGATTTCGATGACTTGATATGATGATGCTTGCTGTGCTGTTTGCAATTGAATGGCGGAAAAGCTACCACATGACTTGTCATTTCACCTATTAATTACATCTCATCAGCACGCTTGGTCAAAGAACTAAATTTTACAGAAAGTCGGGCTGGTGGCAACGTCTTCTGGGCCTTGGCTGGGTACAAAGCTTGTCAGTTAAAACTTGTCCGCAAGTCCTCTTCGGATGAGACACATTTTTCAACGTTGTTCGAACGTGTTACAACATCTCTGCCATTGTTGCCTGCAAGGCCAAGCCTCCAGCTCGACCGTGCATCTGGCTTGTGTTTTGATATATACATATATATTTATACTCACATACTAGTATATACATGTATATGCTGTATTTGTATTATTTACAGTATAGTTGATATTATTTGATTCACTTGCCATTGGTTTTGACTATCTGTTGCAGGTATTTGTAGCTCTCTGGATGTAATTAATGTCTTTGATCGCGCCAATGTTTGCGGTGTCACTACCTACACCTACACCTACACCTACACCTACACCTACACCTACACCTACACCTACACCCACACCCACACCTACACCTACACCTACACCTACACCTACACACACACACACACCTACACCTACACCTACACCTACACCTACACCTACACACACACACACACACCTACACACCTACACACCTACACACCTACACACCTACACACACACACACAGACCCACGCATATGCATATAATATGCAGTACGGACACACACACACACATAGATACATATTATACATATATATATATATAATTATATATATACACGTATAATATGTATCTATGTGTGTGTGCAGCTAATTGAGATTGAGTGTGGCAGATGGTGCAAAACCGACAAAATCATAGTGATGTGAACTTAGTGAAGCGTTTGAAGGAGTGGAAGCTTGAGTGTGGTACCTCCGGTGGCTGGGCCCTAAGATCTCCAAGGCCCAAAGGCAACACATTCAGAACACATTCTACATCCTAGCGGCCTAGCGGTAGCGATCATTCTATATCTAGCCAGGAGAGAAAAGAAAGGGGGTCACAAGTGCCACATGGTGCCACATCCTTGGGTGTTGAAGACATGAGAACACTGACGCCGCTGGGATTTCTTAGATTTGATTTGAGATACAAGAGATAGCATAGTCAACATAGCTATAGTTCAGTGTAGTCTGGGCATCGCAGCAAGCCTTCAGAACTCACTGCAAACTGGGCGGACATCCAGTGCACGTACTTGGGCTCAACGTAGGCTCCTGCCCTGTGCCAGCAATCTGGAACCATTGAACCAGTTTTCTCTTGGTCTCGTACAGGAAGGGGCCCCATAGTTAGCTAAGTTGACTTATAAGTAGGCTACCTAGGGTTTACAAGGGATATAACTATAGTTGTTACATGTTGTTACGGTTTATAAACCAACTTATAACTAGGGCCCCCTTCCTGTAGATATATGCCACTCTTCTTGCATCGTATCCTCCTTAGGTCCCACCACCACCTCCTGGATTCATTGGAGGTGCATTGGAAGCTGGTTGTAGCTATTGGGTCCCGCTTTCAATGTGACAGCCATGGAACAAAACATTCTAGCCCTGAACGACGCATGCAGCCCTTCCTACATTGCGGCTTCACTGAACAACAGCCTTGCGATGCCTTGCGTGTTTCTGACAGACAGTTTTCAGGTTCTGGAGTGCAGCCTGGAAACCCTGGTTGGATACTGAGATTACTGGGCGACTTCGGGTCGTTTTGTCACATGTTTTTGGACTTATATATTTAATCTTGTTAGCTTCCCAGTGGTTGGCCCTGTCCATCCATTGTGGAGATGCTAAGGCAAGTCTGTTCCTTTGCGAGAGCGTGCGGCCCTCAGAATTCGAAAATTTGACAAGATGGCGGGCCACCTGTGTGTTCATGATCTACAGAGCGAAGGGCTTGAAAATGTATCAGCATAACAATGATAGCAGTAACATTCACATAATAACGTGAAACAGATGGGCATGCTTAATGTGACAGAGGTTTCTTTGAAATTTGGGCGAACTAGGCGTTCATCATGTCTTCATCTTCTGTTGCTCTTTAGATCAGCCGCTGAGCCTCTCAGTTTCGCGTTTGCACTCGTCAGGCACTGGGCCACCTTCCCCGCTGGGCACCTCAGGACAGGACAGGTGATGGCGAGTTCTAGAATCTTAGAAGTGGCTGCACGGATACAGCATGCTACAGCTGGGGATGGACAGGGACCAGTGCGACCAGAGGGGATTGTGGATATCGATATATCGTTTTATATACATTTATATACTGTTTTATAGTTATCATAATTTGTGTATGTAAATGTGTATGTAGGTATGTAATATATATATATATAATATATATAAATATATTATATGTGTGTGTGTGCGTGTGTGCAGATATTATGTAATCATACATTGTAGGGACCAGTGCCAGATGGTACCAGGAATCCAAGCATGGAATGATCTCTGCTGGCTGGTATAGACAATAGAATGCAAGATAATGATGCATAATATTGTGCACTACAATATCACCATGTTATCAACTAACAGCGGTTCGCCATGATGCAATGCTCCTTTCTCGCCTAACGTGATCAATACTTTGCTGACCTGAGGCCACGATTTTCATCTGTGCCTGTGGCGCATACCTTAGAGGGACAGACATGGGAAGATATGGTAGGATAAAAGGGATCATAAATCAGTAAATCAGGCATATTCAGGCATGATACGTGACTGTCGCGGAAGGAGAGGAGGTGAACTGGTGGTGAAACTAGGAATGCAAATGACACCGCATCAGCCCAGGAAACGCCGCCCAGCAAACCGCCCCGAACTCAGTCCATATGAGTCCTCATCAGTTGCTGATGTTGAGTCACTACAAACCAAGCCAGGGAAGCACCTTGATCTTGGAAATAGGCTTGGGGAAAGAGATGCTGGTATGAACAGTATTAACATCTGAATAGTTTCAAGTCCTTTACATTGAGCACCTTCTCTACATTTCTACATGCCCTTGATGCACTGTAGTTCTTGGTTCAAAATCGTCAAACCTTTTACTACACTTCTGTTTCAATTTGAAGCCGGTATCATGCGCTGGCTTACCTGCGTCTCGACCGAAAAAGCGTTGAATTGCAATGCTTGGGAGCAACTTGGAAATCATTGCAAGAAGTCCGTAGTCAGTAGGAGACTATACAATTATTGGCTTGGCTGAGTCACATCAAGGAGCAGCCACACGCACACCTCTGCACTCTGCAAGTACATAGGCCAAACACGTTGGAAATTGCACATCATGTGCATTTATCATGTGCATTCATGTGCATTCATGTGCATTCATGTGCATTAGGCCAAGCTAATTTTCATACCCTTTTTGCAATTTTCTTTGCCTGTTGGATACTTTGAGATCTTTGAGCAGTTTTGATTGTGCAGCGTTTCAGGGAGTCTTTTACCTTTTCGAGCTTTCACTGAAGAGGCATGCCTATCAGGACTACTGATTTGTTGCTGTCAAATCCAGCTGACCAAAAAGGGTTCAGCAGAAATGCTGACCCACAGTCCACCAGTTTGGTTTGGACAATGGGTCCACATGAATTTTATGTGTATGGATGAATTGAGGTGAATCGCTGCAAACATGCTCCATCGTATATGTTACTTGCTGCAGGAGAATGTGATGGAGTTGGTCTTCTCCAGACAAAAGGCAAAGAAGAAACTGCAGCGGATTGCCGCGGCTTCGAAAAGTGCCCAGAGTGGCCTATGCCATACCATTCTGGCATCTGGGCAGATCTTGCACGCCTTGGCATATTTTAGCATATCAATGCATATCATGGCATATCTCGGCCCAATAGCTTCGAGTAGCTTGGGAAAAAGCACAAATTCTGGTGCAAATCAGCTGCCCCACCTGGGATCCGGCCTGTTTCGGCCTGTTTCCTTGACGTGGCTTAACATTTCAGCGCTTTCAGCTGACTCGACCAAGGCGAGTATCCAAAGGAGTATCCATGGAAGTCCCTAACAATGAAGGATTTTCCACCTGGATTTATGCTGGGTGTTGGCACTGCTGCTTTTCAGATTGAAGGAGCATACAACGAAGGAGCCTCGGATCAAACAAATGAAAGTAACATCAGAATGCAGGTCACTCCACTGAAAAGAATCAGCTGGCTTCAGCTGGCTTCTGGCTGTCGCAATTGATTTGATTGGAGAATATTGAAGCTGCGGCTTAAGTTCGATTCAACTACGTAAAAATCTTGAAAAAGGAACAACAGATGCAACGTTGAAGATTCTGGGTCGGCCGTGGTCGAACAACATGGTGAACAGAAGGACCGTACGCACGGGATCACAATGGTGTGTCACTGAGAGTCACAGGTTTGCGTGGGACTCTGGATGCCCCGAAATAAGGCGGCCGGGGCGCATCAATTTGGGACACCTATGTAGGCGCCAACACTGTTGGCATGCCAGGATCAGTGCCTTGCTTTGCAAGTCGTGCACTGATGCCGCTCACACCGGGGTCGCCAGGCAAAGTAGCAAGAACTGCCCGATAGAAGATATGATACCAGACTTCACTTAAGACATCTTAATTAATTCATAAGACTCATGTGATTTATGTACGGCCATATGCATGCAGGTGCACAATGTATACTGTGAATTATGGCGTAGACTTGTTTAGTTTTCTGACCAGACCCAAGGTTTTGTGGCGTTGGCCAGGGCCCCCTGTTACCAGATGTTACCAGACACTACTCTATGTAATAGACTCTATGTCCAACCTTGTGAGTTCTGACTTATTCTGCGCCACTGCGCAACTTTGAATATTACCAAATTATTGTGAACCTTGGATTTTAATTGCCCAGAAGCAAAGCATTGGCAAAGCGGGCCGCACCACCTAATTACACGCAGCACACAAGAGACACAGTACAGCGAATTTTGGCCGCCAACATAGTGGAGTCCCCATTCTTCAAGATGCTTCAAGTGGTTCCTAGTCACAGTCCACTGATCCATTTCTGCTTCTGAACCCAAGTTGAAAGCGAGGTGTGCAGCGAGGCCCCCTGCCCGTTGAACAGCGTCATGGCAGACAAAGGCTGGAAGTTCAATGGGAAACATTGCAATGCTTGCATTCTCTATCATATCATATCTATCATTATCATTCATTATCTTATATGTGTACTTCCAAATCATCCAAAGAGGTCCACATTCTTTTCAGCCCATGACACTGGCTGAAATAAGTCTCAATGTGTCTAGGGGCCACTGGAAATGTGGCCAACAACCACTACCACAAGTACAAGGAGGATGTCGCAATGATGAAAGCCATCGGATTGAAGTACTATCGCTTCTCCGTAGCATGGCCGCGCATCGTCCCTACTGGAGTGGTGAAGGATGGAATCAATCAGGAAGGCATTGCCTTCTATCACAGCCTCATCGACGAGCTGATCAAGAGCGGCATCACGCCCATCATCACCATTTACCATTGGGATCTCCCACAAGGATTGCTAGATATGAATTTTGACTCTCCAAATCCTCCGTGTGACAAGCGCTACAAGCAGGGATGGTACGAGTGCGTCATGAGTGCCGACAATAAGCCAGTCCCAAGTGGCATGAACTCGATGATCGTCAGTGAATTCTTGCAGTATTCGGAGATCTTGCTCAAGGAGTATGGCAAGAAAGTGAAGCTGGGCCGGGCAACAGTTCCCACTAGCCTAAGACTAAGATCATAGCACATTATAGCCAGCACATTGTCGGATATTGTCGGTATATGTCGGTATTGCTTGTAGTTTCCCACCTGCAGATCTTACGGGATTGCCCTTCTGCCTGAGGGGGTCCACAATGTCCAGCCAAGTGCACAGCATCTCAGTGAGAAAAGCTGAGAAAGACCTGGCGTTGTCGGCGTTGTTTCTTTTGATTTCGCCCAGGAAGATGTGGGCGACCTTCAATGAGGCTTGGACCTTCACACACCTTGCCAGCGGATACGGAAAAGCCCCGTCCATGCAACCTTACATGGACGTCGACGTGTGGCCCAAGGTTGCCGGCCACAACGTGCCTGTAGCCTGCAAGAAGCCACATAGAAGTCACATGCTTCAAATTGGAGCCAAGGCAGAGTAAGGATCCCCCGGAGGGCAGGAGGGGACAAGCTCGCAGTGTAAGCAGCATCCCATAGCATCACTGCGAATTTTCCGCACATGTTATTTTAGATTCACTTGACTTGGTGCAATATCCGGCTTCATGTTCCTGAGGTGATTCTGGCCCATTTGAAAGTGGTCATGAAGTTCAGAGAGATGCAAACAAATGGGCATCTCACTCCAGGGCATCGAATCTTCATCACCAACAACCAGGACCACTGCAGCTGTCCAGCTCGTTGGACAAAAATATTATATAGGATGATATATCTCTTGAGTATTCTTGAGTGATCTAGAGTGGCATTTGATTGGCAATGATCTACTAGGATCTACTAGGTGTATCTAGGTATCCTATTGTGCTTGCCTCACAGTGTGCCCTCCGGAACCTCCTCTTTGACTTTTAGTGCATTCTTTTTTCGTTTTTTTGCCTCTTTCCGTGTGGTCAGATTGGTCAGCTACAAGGACTGGCGTGAACCCCTCACTGACAAGGCGGAGGATATAGCTGCTGCCCACTACCTCGTTGAAGGGGGACTTGGTTGGTCACTTGGCAGATCTTGGCTGCTGCCTGCCTGGCCTTGAGATGACAATCGCTGTGAAGTTCGTGCCACTGAGGTATTGTGACCCCATCTATGGCGTCAACGGCGTCCACGACTATCCATATTCTATGAAGTCTACTTTGCCTTATATGCCCAAATTCAGTGAAGAGGAGAAGTCTTTGCTGAAGGCCTACAAACCTGATGCCTTCGGTCTAAATCACTATGGCACTAGCTTCGTCGCATATGACGGAGGCAACCCAGCAGCAAACCAGAATCCTTCTGACCTACAAAGTGAATAGTTAGAGGTGCCTGCATTGATAATCTGAGCATCCTCAAAGGCGTGTGATTTTCCTGAACTTTAATTGCACGGGCTTGCCAAGCGCTGCTTATTGCACTTTGGATCATTTTGTCAATCATTTAGTTCATGGCCAGAAAGGCGATCATAGCATTCTTATCAACGGGGTGCAAATTTGGGCATGGCATACCGGCTTCCGGTACTGAACTATGGATACATGTTGAAATTGAGCTGCGCGCGTGTTTCGCGCGCTTAGTTGCAACATGTTGCAACATGTTGCAACATGTTGCAACATGTTGGCTCAACCCAACGCATGGTGCAACCTTCTCTTTTTCCAAGGTAAATACACGATCACGCACGGCAAGTTGGTGCAGGGCAAGTCCAGCTGGCTCTTCAGAGCTGCTTGGGGCTACCGTAAGCTCCTCAACTGGGTCAAGAACCTCGACGCCAGAACAAAAATGAAGTAAAAAATGCACGCGCACACACACACACACACCGGTATATAGTGATATGATAATGAGATATAATGATACATATATAGTTATAATGTAATATATATATAGTTATACACATATATATATAATATAATATATATATATACATACAGTCATTATATGCACAACTCTCTCCCTCTCTCTCTATCTCTCTCTGAAAACGTATGCAGGTGTCCCCCATCTCTCCCTCTCTCTCTGTGGAGCATAAGTAGACATATGTCACAAGCAGTGTAGTTGTCAGGTGCTTGCTAGGCCAGGCAGTTGAGCACCTTATAGCACCTTGATATTAGTTTTCGGTGAAAACATGGTGCATCTCCATCTCCCAAACTCAGTCGTTCCGCAAGGAACCGATACGGAGCTGACCTTGAGATTTGGGGCACGGAAGCTGGCTGGAGCGACGGCATAGAAACAGCTCTAGGAGGAAAGAACGACTTCGGACGACTGACGTGGCTTGGTGGTATTTACGAAAGGGTGTCTTAGTAACCCTGAAGGCCCTGAACATATGTTTACAGCGGAGGTCTGTGATTTCTGGTGATTTCTGATGGTGACACCCGCCTGTGGGTCCTGAAGATTTTGGTCAGACAGAATCTCCAATACATGTCGTTGCACGGTCAGGTGGTTGACAGATGGCAGTCCGATGAGCTGGGACAGTTTGCAGCAAGGCATCTCATTGATTCTCATGGTGTCATCAGTGTCATGTTTTTACCAAGGTACTACCAGGAATATTTGCAGGAAGCTCTCAATGCAATCAAGGAAGACGGAGTCAAGATGCTTGGCCCATTGGCCCTTCTTTTCCAGTTGTGAAGCTCAGCTTCTTTGACTTCCTCAATTTCATTCAATTTCCACATGAGATTGTGCACGGATTCACCGTCACTATATCTATATGCATCAAGTTCATAGACTTTCTGTCAGTTCACACTGCATGTAATCTAATGTGTATGAAAGGGTAGTCAGTCAGGAAATAAACATATCAGAGGCAGTGCAAGTGGGATGGGTGATGGCATGGTCTTTGACCAAACTCTGGGCTTCCTGTCTATTGAACAGCCAGCAACCATTCAACTGGATTTACACCGAAACACAAGAGGTACAGGATGCACTACTTTCCACAAAATGGGCCATTTGTCATTCGGAAATGTTGGATTATGTTTTGTTGCAGCCAGTTGTCAAGCCTGTCAATCACCATGAATCAAGCCTAGTTGACAGAGGGACTCGCGATCATAATTTATCTGCAATCCTTGCAAATGTCAGTCAAAATGTCGCATGAATCTCTTACAGTAGTTCGACTGATTTCAGCGTATCACAAAAAGATGCCGCACCCACGTGGTTTGTTTGTTCTGGGCTAGTCTGAGTGAGCTATAGACTGAAGTGAGATGGTGCTGATGTTGCCACTGTTCTTCCATTGTGACTTCAAAGCGCCCAAATACCAGCAAGGCCACATGACTTGCATACTTTCCCACTTGCCACGATGTATATTATATATTATTATATGTATAATTTTGATCGCTATATCTATATATATATAAATCACACACACATGTATGTTATATATATATGTATATATGTAAGTTTTATGATCATTCAACGTTGAAAGTTGACCCTTCCACCGGCAAGGATGAAGTCATTTATGGCTTGGTCGCTGATGGTAACTTGACTAAGACTTCAAAAAGCGGCTACAAATCTTGAGCGTCGTACGCTGTGAGACAGATTCTGACAGTGTGGATGGGGTAGACCTTGTGGGTGACGTTCATGATGGCGTCATCGCGCTTGCATGTTGATATACTCTGATACTCTGATATACTTTGGTCAGATGTCTTGCTGGCTAAGCATGATTATACCCATCATTGATGAGCTGAGCGGTGTCAGCGGAACTCCCCAGACGATCCAGTGGAGCTAAGGACAACTTTGAATGGGAGATGGGATATTCTGAACGATTTGGGTGCTTGTGGAACGAGTTCTTGTGGGAAACGGACCCAAATGCCCCCTCAGCGAACAGTCCGATCTACAACCCGTACGCAGGACAATCAATGAAACACTTTGAAGCAGTGTGAGCTATTCTGTAAAAAGGGCGCATGTATTGTTTTGCCTGAACGACGCGCTGTTTGCTGCTTTATGTTTGGAACAGGCTTGGTTTGCAAAAGCATGTTGATGCGTGTCTCTCGGAAGGAAAGATTTCTGGCAAGTGCGGAGATGAATGCAGCAGGGCAAAAGTGTCTCCCGGACCTTCGCGAGCCAAAGGCCAAACGCGGCACATGAGGACAGCTTCCTTTCCCATCGTTGATCTGTTCAGAGGTTCTCACAGGCTTCAGGATCTTCAGGCCTGTGATTGACCAGATGCACACACACACACATATATATTTATACTCCTTGTGTATAGATCAGACTGTATCCGATTTATATATATAATTATAGACAAACAGAAACACATAATGGCATATCACAGTCAAAAATATCAAAAATACTGTGCGCCAATTTCAGGCTTAATGCCCTTTGCCAGGACGTCGCGTTGAAATTTCAAGACGTTTTCTGTGGTTATGTCATTGCAATCCGGATTTCTTTGTTATCATTTATTCTCAGTTAGCAATTGTAATGCTTTGAGTGCAATTTCATTCAAATCGTTGATCGTTCTGTTTCTTGCAGGAACTCGATGTTGAGGCTTATTGAAGCCTGGGGAGTCCCCGAAAAGCTGAGTGGTCCCAATGGGCCCAATGAGGACTTCTTCCAGGCTGCCACAAGTGTCAGCATTTGCTTTGGCAAAGGAACATATGAGACAGAGGATGGGCCAGTGGAGTGTTCCCTCGATGCTTGCCTCAACATGTCTCGACATGTCTCAGACTCATTTCGTGTAATTGAAAAGGGCCATAGTATGTCTTCCAATTGAGATGGGCAAGAGTAAGGATTGGAGGGTGATGACTATAGCACTTAGCTTCAGATCGTTTTTATCTTGTTTTGCATCTGCAAATGCGTATTATCAAGGCTTTCAGGCATGATGTGAAATTGGACGTGTTAAGAAAATAAGCTTCTCACTGCAGAATCTTTTCCAGACAAGAAGCGGCAAGCAGATGTCAGAAGATATCAGAAGATGTCAGATGATGTCAGAAGCTGAGGAATCCGATGTACTGAGCAAAATAGTAGTGCCTGCTTGAAATGCTGTGACCCGTGAATGTTTGAAACCTCCGGGTGAATTAGGGTCGCTTGGACTAACACTGCCAAGCGCAAAAAGTGACTGCGACGTTCAGAGACTGCACGTTCTGACTGCTGAGTCTGGAAGTATGAGAATGACAGATGATACAAACGATTGCATTTGAACTGACCGCGCTTCTGGCCCTATCTCAGCGATATTACCTTCTAGCTGCTTCCCAGCACCAAGCTGAGTGAAAGAAAGCGTGCTTTTAGATGCAAATAATCTAAGGGCGCAGAGAAGACATGGTACAAATATCAATGGAGAGCAGGTAAGATAGCTTTAAAATCTTAAAACATATAGCAATTTCAAGTTTCAGCCCTTTAACGACTCTTGTTAAGTCCCCAGATACACTCCTCGAGTGCAGCTGAGATCCGCTAGCCAGTGAACCTAGGCCAAGTCTGCACACACTAAGCGATTGCACAATCATGAATAGCATCACAGACATGCATAGGCCGCATAGTCATTCCTGGAGTCATTTGGTCACGTTTTGTCCCTTCCGTATTGGGCCCTTTTGATTTTGTGCCACTTGTACCTTCATTGCCACTTGCCCACATGTGGCCGGCGGGCAGACTCCATGGCAGGAGATGTTGCCTGGCAGCAGTTGGGACGTGTTAGATTCTGTTGGAGCATGTCACGCATATGTCATGCATTTGGCAGGGGAGAAGGGGAGACCTTGATGGAATCCGTATGTCGATATATGTCAATATGCCGTTGATAAGGAACATGAAGACAAAAAGAAAGACAAGAAGAAGCACAAAGTCTCTCGCTTCAATATGCTTCAATGAGTTTCAAAACATGGGATGGGTCCTGTCGGATGATTGACGCGTGCATGTCGAAGGCAAGATTGCACCAAGCCCATGCAGTTCTCATATGTTTTGCTATGTTTTCAAAATATCCTTGGCCCTATGCCCTATGCAACCTATGCAAAGTGTGACACAGTGAATGCGTGTGAATGCATGGCCAAGGAAAAGGATGGAAAAAAGGAAAAGAAGAGAAAGAGTGCAGACGAAGGAGTTGATCCAGGTGACCCAGGTGCAGCTAAACGCCAAAAAGAGGCGAAAGAAGATGAGAGCGAGATGCTTCGCAGCATTTTGGCCGGTCAATGTCGGTAGATACAGTTCTTTCATCATCTTTCATCATTGCGATGTGCTGTGATGCATGCTGTGATATGCTGTGATGCTGGTACTGTTCATTACTGTTCCATCGTTGCCCATTGGCCATTGCTCATGCGCCTGTGTTCTTGTTTTGTTGCTAGCAGGGCGTTCAACTATATGAAAGTGGGTCTATTTGCCCCTCCGCTACTTCTGCTCGTCAGGGCTCATCTGTCGGGTGTTCGATTCAAGATCGGGCTTTCCTGTATGCTATGATAATCTATAATACATAGTAATTACACAAGATCGCCGGGCACAAGGTCGAATATGATAGAGTAGTTTGCAGATGCATTCAGCAGCTCTTGAAGCTGCTCATCATATTCTGCTGTGCATACTATCGAAGGTTCTTCGGCGTGCTTTCTTTTTGTTTTCATCTCGGTCATGACATGGATGCATGCGTCTCTCAGCTCAGTCCTTGCCCAATGCTTCAAATGCGCTGGTGTCTACTGGAATTATGTGTGTTTGCTTGGTGGGCATCCCAATTATCCGAAAGAATTACGAAAGATAGCTCGACATTTGCTGGAGAACGGAAAGAAAAGCATCTGCATGTTGTAGGTCCTGAACACAATCATAACATATCAATACATATCATAACTCTCTCATACTCGTACCTGCGTCATCCTGCGTCAATGTCTGGCCTCCGTTGAGGAACGTAGAGATCGTGGATGTCAAAGTGAAGGAGAGCAGACCGAGAGCTTTTGTCCTCATTTCAGACTCTCCAATCACTGGCGACATGTATTGCGTATTTGAAGGAACCAGGGAAAAGAGACAAAGTGCATTTTTATCATATTTTTATCTATTGATTATATATTTTCCCTTTTGCCGGTTGATGAACTACTTTGGCCATCATTGGCCATTGTGTAAATTCTATCATGAGCACCTAGAGTCCTAGAGGAAGCTGGATCGAGCAGGTTGTAGTTTTTTTTTTTTTTCGGAAGTAGAATCTTGACTAAAGTGACATGAAGTGACCTTCTGGTCGAAAGTAGTACCACAATTAGGCCATAGGGGTAGAGCATATGATTACTGAAACTTGACGAAGTGCATAGATGTGTTTCAAGATGTTTCAAGAACTTTGTCTGCTCTGCATGTGCTGCGTGGGCAGTCTGTGATGCCTGCGTTCATGGCCTTCAAACCGGTACAGGCAGGGCTAGACAGCTTGATTGGGCAACCCTTGCTGGGCTAGTGAAAATGCAGAATCATGTGACAGGTTTTGAGGAAGTCAGGTGCTGACGCAAGTCGGCCAAATAAAACATCCGAAAAGATGGTGCCTCAGCAAAAGCAGGTGTGGGGCATTGTGTTGTGGTGTGGATTCTTATTGATTCTGGTTCTGCAGAGACTGCAGAGTGGAGGTGAGCTCCACGTCCGAGGTTACTTCCCAGAAGCCTGAAGCTGTCACAGAGAACAAGGACAAGGAAAAGACTGAAAAGATCAAACACAAAGAGAAAGACAAGGAAAAAGGGAAAGAGAAGGAGAGCAAGCGCACGCTAGAAGGGACAGCTTTAAAACGTAACCTAGCTCCGTTTTTTTTTGAGAGCATTTTATAGAGATGCCGCAACTTGAACCCTTTACTATATTCCTGTTAAAGAGAGATGACATTGGACAGCTAAACAAAATGCAGCTGAAAGTAGATACCCTTTTCTCCTTGCAAGTCTACCCATTTCATTTCCATTGAAGCAAGTCAGCAAGTCCGTTCATTTCGTTTGTTTGATTCGTTCGTGGGTGCTTTGCATTCGTTTTGCAATCGTCCAGTTCCTTGTGTATGTACATTTCCTTCGATGCACAGTGCTGGTCGATTTGGTAACTACTTTGGTAGTAGGTAGATGGTAGTAAAGGTGAAATACACATGTTCTCAGGTATGATCTTCATGGTTTGCATTTGTTGCATAACCATCGTTAACTCTCCGTAGTTATCCTGGCATTGTTTTCCGAACATTTTGATGATGCCAGAGCTTTTTGTTAATAACATTTAATAACTTCGTATCACTTCGTCCATTTGCTGTCCAACGAGCCCAACGGCAACAGTGTTCCATACTTCTGCCGCTAATTCTTCTGACAAGGAATGATGCTTGAGGATGTTTGGTATTATTTCCGGATATTTCCGGAAAGCACTGAGGGGCTACTATTCCATACTATTCCAATATATTGCAAACCATCCTGGCAATTGCAAGGCGGAAGTGCCCTGAAAGCTGAGATGTGACCTGCAATCGAATAGATTTAACGAAACTCCCATCGCCCTTTCTCATCAATTCCATTGCAGATTTCATGCTCGGTCAACTCACGCTAGCTGCTCTGGAGAAAGTGCTAAGGCCCGGTGTTCAATCGAGGTGGTATCGGAAGCGTTTGGCATTTTCCCTGTATATTTTTGCACAAAATGCCTCTTGTGACGTGTCCATGTTCATTTCGACTGCGCAGTCTCGCAGAAAATGCTGGCCGTGGGATACGGGTCCGGCATTTTCTCTGTAAATTTCTGCACAAAATGCCTCTTCTGACATGTCCGTGTGCAGTTCGACTGCGCAGGCTCGCACAAAGTGTGCTTCACGGTCTTGGGCTCGGTCACTCGGTCTTCCTCCTCAACATCATCCTCCTCAACTTCATCATCTTCCTCCTCCTCCTCATCATCATCATCATCATCACCATCATCATCATCATCACCACCAGCATCATCGTCGTCGTCGTCGTCATCATCATCATCATCATCAACATCAACATCATCATCATCATCATCATCATCACCATCACCATCACCATCACCATCATCACCATCACCATCACCATCACCATCATCAACATCATCATCAACACTATAGCACGTTAATTTTTACTCCCCCCACACTGTTTGGGGCCTCTTGCCGGTATAGTAGTTTTTGTGGGCGTCAGAGTGCAGACTCAAATTGGACAGGACAAGAAAGAGAAAAAACAAAAGGATGCAAAGGACTGCAGTGATTTGTGGCATTTGGCGCGGGATGACGGGTTTTTTGTTGGTGGGAAAATGCCAAAAAGATCCCAAAAGAGACGGTCCTAGCCCCAGTTGGTTAGAACGGAAGCATGCGAAGTGCCAGTTCCATTTCACCGACGGGACGTCACAGCAAAATTTTCTTGATGGTGCCGGTATCACTGTGTTTTTTTGGCGGCTCTTTGAAGGACGCCAATGAAGGCAAAGCCTCCGAACCAAAAGCTGGAGATGCAAGTCCAATAGGCAGCTGGCAGCTGCGATGACTGGATGACAATGACGTGTGCATTAGCCTTTTCTTAAATCACTTTTCCCGCGGAATCTGGTAGAATTGCAACATATTGCAATCCTGGCTGCAATTGATATTATTATTATTTATTATTATTATTAGATAGTCGTTCATGGCTGGAAGAGTTGATATACACTAAAAAAACATTTTTGGAAACAGAGGACTTCGCAAAACTAACCTGGTCTTAAATATTATCCTAATAGGATCTAACAAGTAGTTAGGTCCGTGGATTTCCCTAGATGTGATGATACTCAAGTACTTCAAATACTGCTGTACAGGATGTACAAAGACACAGCTGAAAAAAAGATCTTGAACATTGCATCCCAAATCCAAACGTAAAAGTGACTCTTGTTCAATTCCTTGAAAGGCATAGATGTTGGCATCTGTTGCCGAACGCATTCTGACAAGTGTCAGGAAGTGCAGGCGGCCAAAAGCGACTGGACATCGGCAATGTCGATGAGTTCCGGAAGCAGCTGGCAGCGCAAAGCCTCTCGTCGGAGATAGTCAGATACTTTCGCAATTTGGTGTTCTCTGCATGCTGCAGTTTTGCAATGCTTCGCATGAACCCTGCTGACATATGGGATTTGCCTGGATTTGCTTGAACTTATGAAATGATTGTGGGGCTGAAATATGCAGAAATGCATTCACAAACCTTCAGCGCCATTGATGGAGGAGCATGCCAATGCGTTATGTGTGCAATTGAACATGCTCGTGCTGCGTGAGGAGACCAGCTGCGACTGTGGATAATCAAAGCCAAGCAGGAATGGGAAGAGAAGCATCAGCAGAAGGGTCACAAAGGAGAAACCAATGACCAAGAGCGCGGGCCCTTGTTCTGCTCTTTATTTGAGATACATTGACAATTGAGACGCGGACATTGTTCAACAGCAGTGCATGCTCGTCTTGTTTCGAGATACTACATTGCGTCCATCGGAGAGACTCTGGGTCCCAACCGTGAATACTTGGCAGAAGCCAGCATTGGAGACCCAGCAGCATTCTGAATCAGCACTTCAGATTTCTTCTTTGTCATGCTTTGTTCACCTCTTCAATTTGTATAGATTCATAGATTTTTTTTGCCAACACAGAGCAATCAATCGGATTGACATGAATTGACAGAATGTGAAAATTGTTGGTGGCTATCAAAACATGGTTATCCCTTTGCGATGGTAGACTAATGTAAATTGCACTGTTGTACACGCCACGTTCTTGCAGTGACACCCTGGTTTTTGTTGCTGATTGCTGGTCTTGCTGGTCTAAGGGCGGGGAGTTTTCTCCAGCGTTTTTCGCTGCAAGCATGTGGGCCAGAAGACTGACTTTGCTCTCAAATTTGTCCGAGCCAACAAGATGATGCGAAAAGCTGCGGAGAAGGAGGTCATAGATTGATGAAACTACATGAAACTACCACATGTCATGTTAATAAATATATGTTTGATGGTTTTACCAATGATGGTGCTTCCAACGGAATAAATATATCTTGTCTTGACAATGGATATCGCAGTCAAGAGGACATTGCTCTATTGTCTCTGTGTGTGTGCGCGTCCAGGTGTGCAGATGCATTGAGCCTGGTTGTGGCAGGGTTAGGGTTGCTTATACATCAGTACGCAAGTATGCATATAGGTGCCTTACAATCTAGACTGTCTAGACTCTAGACGTGCATCCTTACGTCTCTGCATGCTCTCAAACTTCTCCAGATACTTGTTTGCGCTTGCATGCTTCTGCCAGACCATTTTGTTGGTTGGAATGAAATACTGTAGCATAGTTGAACCATATTGCACCAAGACATACCAGGACGATGTGAAGACATGGTGAAGACATGTTAAGATACGTTACGATACTTGGTTACTCAGAGATCCCCCTCAGGTGGAGACCTACCGCCGCCTTGCAAAGCTGGCGGCAAAGGAAGATCAAGAGGGCGCGCAGTACATCATGCTGTCACTTTGCCCCAAAGGAAGGCTTTGCTGTCGGATGCTGTCGGAAGAAAATTACTATTGATTAATAGCATTTATTGTCATTCCATGTGAATCATGAATCATAATGCATTTTTGACAATTTTTGAGTTTAAAGGATACTTCTGTCTGATTGAAAGTCTCGCACTTCGAAGTTGCAATGTTCTTTGTCCTGACTCAGGCTGTCGCCACCTGAGACCTTCGAGCATCAGGGTCACTTGTGCCTTCGCTGAAGGTTTTGGATTGCCGGGAGGTGTGTCCGATGCAGACTGTAATTATAACTGCTGTTTCTACGCCACGCAAGATCTTGGAACGTTTTCATCTTTCCACGAAATTGCTTCAATTAGTCATCTTTTGCAGCTCTCAATGGCCTCTAACCGTTGAAGGCAAAAAAGCGGCAGTCATCTATTTGCCCAGTGCCTGTAAAAATGCTTCGGGCGCTGAGGTGTTTGGTGTTTGACCTTCTGAAGTGCGATTTGCGGACTGCTTTGTCCAAGCAACTCATCGCAAGCTCAGCGCAAGCTGATCTCGGAGCTGGAGACACTGGAGACTGAAGTGACATTGAAGTGATCTGGCAGTCTGATGAAATCTCATGAAATCAAAAGATTCAAATGCATGCACTCGGAATGGGCTGAGGTATGGGCAAGGAAGAGGGCTGCCCCTACAAACTGTGGCGCAATACGCTAGGCAAAGCTGATCAAAACTTCCCACCGTGAGACATTCAACTTGGAGATATCACATGACTTCGTGATATAACGGATATATACAAGCACGCTGGCGGTGGGTGAATGTTGATGACATTGGATGACTATGGCCCCAGGCAACTCTTTTTGGCCCTCCGTTGCCTCCGGAAGATCAAACTCATTCATGGCCAGAGCCCTGGATCCTGGGTCAACTCTAGCTGTGAGGATTCTATCTCTGCATATCTTTGCATATGTTTGTGCTGAGGTGATTTGAAGCCGGACAATGTGACTCTGGCAATGCTTTGGGGGTATGGTATGTATTTTTCGCTGATTGCCCTGACTTGATCTCGACTACTGGCAACGTGAATAGTATGTAATATATCATAATATATCACTGCAGAGAAGTAGCCAAGCCTGGCTGATTACTATTACATAATACTATATATAGATATTCAAAGGAAGATGGGAAACGTGGCACGCGGCAAGATCACCACAGCCAAAAAGGTCAGCAGTTGCAAGTGCAATGCTTCAATATGCTTCGCACAGCCATCGGATGTCGGGCATTGTTTGACTGAGGTCCTGATGACTTTGAGCAAGACAGAGATCAAACTGTGCGACTTTGGTTCTGCTATGGACGTGGGGGAGGCCGTTAAAACTGCGTACCTACAGCCTCGTTTCTACCGGGCGCCTGAAGTGATCCTTGGAACAGGGCATCTTGACAGTAGTTATGCTGTCGTATGACGAGTCATATGCTATCATGTCCGGTTTTATGATCATGTTTGATCTTCAATCATTTTAGTTTGATGATTCGTGCAATGTATTATGCAGCTGCTTCTGGTACTGCAGCTGACCTGCTTTTGGCACTTTCAAGGCGATAGCCTTTCTCGGCTTCTCCTGACAGGTTAGATTATTTCATATTACAGTACCATGTGATCATATCGAGGAACCATAAGCTGACGCAAGCTGCAGGTATGACACTCAGATTGACCTTTGGAGCGCTGGAGTGACACTTTTTGAACTGGCCAGTGGCAAGATTCTTTTCACCGGCAAGACGATGCTCAGCATGCAGAAGCTCTTTTTTTCATTGGTTCCATGCTGCTGGATCTTTGTTCACCGTTCTTCCCGACTTCTGTACTTCTGTAACAGTCTGTTGGTGTCTGTTGGCCTAAGCCAAATCCCCGACCATTGGGTCTTTTCCCATCTTTTCCTCTCACAGTCTCACAACCTCTGAACAAGGCTTATAGATGCTTTTAGTGGCTTCAGTCTTGCCATGTCTTGCCGCGAACTGAAGACGTTTTGGACCACGCTGCAGGAATAATTCCATCATTCGTCAGATGTTGGAGGCCCTGGTTGCAATTTTGAATCTTTTTACGCTTCAGACTTCAGACCAGCAACGTGCGCCATACCCACCAGAGACAGCACAGTGATGTAGCATAGAGTCACATCATGTCACATCATGTCACATCATGTCATATCATGTCACCTGAAATCCATAAAGCTCCTGGAAGAAAGCCGCCTCTGCTTCTTGTCCAGGTGTCGGGCGCTTTTCCAAAGAAATTGGCGACATCTGGTGAGTTTTCTTCCAAGCACTTCAACTCGGAAGGCTCCTGGTCAAAGAAAGAATTCGACATGGAAATCTGAGAGGTGCTGCATGGAGCAAACGAGACAAGCTGTGCAAATGTAGGCAGGATGAATGGGTAACAAGCGTTCCCAAGAGGATGCTGCTTGTGCATGGACAGAGCCAAGGTGAATATCTCCTGAAGGATCCAGACTCAATCACTGGAATCCGTGCCTGAATGCAATGGCATAGAATGGCACCACCTTTGTATACCTTTGTGTTGGCAAATCAGTGTGACAGTACTGTGCCCAAAATGGCACATTTAGTATCATTTTGTTGGATTTTTCCCCTTGCTTTGGTTCGCTATGTATTTGTTGGCATTTTGTTGGCTCAGGGGATATCTTTCCAATGAAGAAGTATGAGAAGCCCAGGCAACCGGTGCCTCGGAAGCAGCCCAGTACTCATAGCTGTCATGGTGTTTGCAGGACAAAACAGAATTCGTTGTAGGCCAAATGCAGGTGTGGGAACGCCATGGAATGCTCAGAATATCTCAGAATCATCCGAAAGGAGCACGATGAGTTGACTTGCACCGAGCCAAGGTGAGTGGGATGTTGGACCAAGTCTTTAAGAATCCACCGCCAAA